TCTACTGCTACTTACATGGGCTGGCGCCGGCGCTTGTGCTTACGTGTTCAATTTATTTTATATTATTACATATTCAATTTATTCCGAGCCCGACCCAGAATGCTTGAAATTTAGAAAAGTTAGTTTTCAATTCAATTTGGTCCTATCGGGAATCGAATCCGGGACATTCACATCCGGAAACCGTTGGGACACCGAGGCAGTCGATAATAAGTGTCATTATTATGTTTAATTTTTTACGTTTCTTTTTGTAACATTTTCATAGATGGTGATCGTCGATGTACGGGCAAAAAGCCGACTTTCGTGACACCGTTGGAAGTTTACATTAACAAAATTCTTCGTAATACTCGTAAATAGATAATAAGCATACAAGATTCAGTCGTTGAGAAATAGTATTGTTTGCTGACGACACATCCTTGGTTTTTAAAGCAGACGGACATGACGTTAACTATGACAATATTAAAGCCCTCTCAAAGGTAGTTTATTGGTTTAACGCTATAAAACAATTTATTGTTCAATGCCAAGAAGACGAAGTGTGTTAAATCTCAATTATTTAATGTAAAATCGACTAGTCCAATCATAGGAATAAATGGAGAAAAGTTAGACATTGTAAACCTACCTACATAGTAAACATAATGGTTTGCACATACATTATATCTTCCTTGGCCAATAGATTAAGCTCCGCTGCATAGGCAGTCCGCAGAATACGTGAGCTTACCGATGTTGGTACTGCTAGACCAGTTTAGTTACTGCCATAGTATAATGTCTTACGGGATTCTCATGTGGGATAAAGCGGTAGATATACCTACAAACCATTTGTTGCAAAAACGAGCGATTCGTTCTATGTACCGTTTAGGTACTTGGGTTTCTCTCAGAGTAAAGTTTAAGGAGACTGGTATCATCACAGCACATTTACTCAAATATTTTGTATGCTGTAAAAATATACGTAACAAATAAGGTATCCATAATATTAACCTAGAACTAAATCCAAACTTATGATACCACGATTTCGTTTAAGGTAAACGATTATTTAAATGTACGGAAAGACGACATGAGACTAGATTTCATACAAATATGATTCAAAGTGTATTCCATAGCATTTAAGTTTATTTGAAAAGAGCAAACAATAGAATTTCTTGCTCCTTTTTCTCAGGGAAGTCAGCAAAGTGAACGAGCAGTTGCTTAAAAAATTACGTTAAGTGTAAAAACTTTATGAAATAAATGATAACCTATGGAATAAATGACTTGAGCTATTTTAGAACCATTATAGCATATTGTAACATCATTATTTTATTTACAATAATTGTATTTGCGCTTCAGACGAGTTGCTGCTATACAGGGTGAAATCGTTAAGTGTGCTCAGTCCGTCAATGTAATCGATATCAAAAATCTTTAAAAAGATTTACAAGTACGTTACCTAGTGGGTAAAACGAAATCAATACACTTTAAAAAATGAACTTGAAATATTCAAATTTTATCCTGAAACACTCCAATATATTTCATATGACATTCGCCGAGACTTTATGAATTTAATGTCACGATGATTGACTACCATGATATTCAATTATTTTCGTGAAATTACTCCACTAGTTTGTTATAATTATTAACACAAAGATTGAACACTTCCAAAAAATTCCTTTGATCCGGCTGGATTCGAACCTATGTCTTTCAGTACACCGTGGCAGACGCTATGCTAACTAAGCCACGGAACGAAATAGCGGACCATACGAATTTTCCAATGTGCTTGTTGCAGATCTTTATTTTGTATCTTGTTTGAAGGAGTTTTATCAAAGTTTTCTTTTTTAAAATAACAAACCAACCAAGTTTACAGATAACAAAACTGCTATAAATATAGTAATAAAACTATATTTTGATCGAATTAAAGAAAATGATGTTTATTTTTAAGGAAATACAAAATTTTGTATTCAAAGAGTTGTTCGAAACTAAGACACCTGTATGAATGTCATTATAATGTGATTAATCTTAAAATTTTGGATGGTTCTAGTTTCATTTGTAAAAAGTTATTGATGTCGTTTTACTCATTACGTAACGGAATTTCGATATCAGTTTAAAGATTTTTGACATCTTTTATATTTACGGCATAATCGCCTGGGCATACTTAACGATTACACCCCGTATAGACTATACTGGCAATTGAGGGTTAGAATTGGGTTACAAATAAATAATATCACTTAGTTCTTTTATCACTATTGATTATTAAAGAAGTAAAAGAACCAGGATGTAAATATGTAGTTTTATTAGAAAATGAAAACAAAATTCCTTAGTCTACCTAAATAAGGCACGTCGCGTGGGAAACCGCACGGCGCTCAGCACGTACGAATTGGATGCGGATAGCAGTAACTTCAGGTTGATTATACATTGGAACAATAAAAACTACAGATTGCAGTTGCAGCACTCGTATAACCTAAAGAAGCAATATACAAGTTTTGCAAGTTACAATATACAACTTTTGCAAACTATAATATACAACTTTTGTAAATTACAATATACAACTTTTGTAAATAAAAGCAGTTTCTTTCTACAATTTGATCACAGAGCAAATTAAATTAAGAATCGTGCGCAGTAATTCGCAAAAGATGTGTTCGCGCTTAAACGCCAAAATCTTCTGACGAGTGTACAGACTCACAATATGGTTTACAACGGTTTGAATTAACATGTTGAAATTTTTTTACCAAATTAAAGTTTTGAATTTTGATCTTTGAGTGTGTTGGAAATATTTTAAAGTACTACAATATGCTACTAGTAAAGTGGACATTGACTATTTTCAACCCTAAAACTATTCGGCCAAGGAGCAAAACCTTTACCAATATAGCCACTTTTTTATATAGGTAAAGTTGCTTTTATTTATTATTTGGTTATGATTCTGTTCCAAAGCAAGTCAACCTTTTCAATTTTGCTAATCGAAATAATAAATAATCCAGTCTATACATTATTACCATTTTCAAAAATGTAAGTGCGTTTAAAACTAGGGAAAAGTCTAACTGAAATTATGCACCTCGTTTGCGCAAACGCAGCTGTGATTATTGTGTCGCCGTGACACTTACAACGTATAAAAAACAAAGCCCAGGTATATGGGTGATCAGTAAATAGTCACGATCAAACGCAATTCAGCCGCGCAATTTCAGCCACACTTGTTTTATTGGTTGATATAATAAGGCGACATCTGCAAAATAACTGTTCAGACAGAGGTCGAGAGATTTTACGAAGAAAATTAGTCAATAACTTTTTTATGCTTAAATTGTAGTCAAAAAATTTCACATAATATACTTTATCTGTTTTATGTAGTTCGTATTACTTTTATGGCTATCATGTGATGAAAGCACTTTTCACATATGATTACATGTGGCTTTATTATACCAAGGGTATGATATGAATTTTTACTGTTAATGTGGACCAATAAATCGAGAGGACTGCTATCGCGATACAAGACAGCGTAGTCGGGTAATTAGTACTTATTGGTACACCAGATGTCGCGACGAGTACCAAATAGCTATTTTTGTAGGTAAGGGGCAATTCATTAAATTTCTAGTGATATCAAACAAATCAACTAGATGGCGCTTATTTAAAGATCTACCGGTATTTTTTTTATTTTGTTTAGGATTAGCGCCATCTACCCACATTAGCAAGAGGTAATTTATTACTTTATAACACAAAACGCCATATGTTGATAGGTATTCTCATCAAAGTTCAGAAAGTAATATTAGCTTACAATCAATAATGAAAAGATTGACTTTTCATATTCCATATTAAAGAGGAATTAATTAATATCCACTGCCATTTACATAATATAAACTAATTCCACGCTATTGATCAGCGTCATGTAGATAAAAGACTGGATTTTGATCATTTACATAGTTACAATCTGTGGTATGGACATTAGCAGTCCTCTTTTGAGTTAGGTTCATGCTGTCATGTAGTTACGCTGATGAAAAAATTCAGCTAATAGATTTTTGCTCATACTGCTGGCAGGTTGATATGTAAAAAAATAATATGATTAGAAAATTTTCAAATATACAATACCGATATGTTACATTTTGTTACAGTTGTATGATAGGAAAATATACGGAAAACATTCACACATTTGAAGCAAAAGCAATAAAGAAATTTGTATTAACACTAGTGATCGAATATATTTACCTATACTTCAAGTAAGTAATAGATGTACAGAGGGGGTAAACCCACCACATTGAGTTAATTTTTTATGTGTAATTAGCAATTAATTTGCTACGATAGTTTTATTATTGATACGAAAAACGAATACTCAACGAGGCAGGTAGGAAGTTCTTTATGGATATCATGGTAGGTAGTAAAAACATGATATTCAATAAAAATAAAATATTACGGTAGTTTTTTTTAAGTGATTACACTAGTATCTAGCCCATGAGCAAAGATGGGGTCTACGATGGAACGAGCTCGCCTCGCGTGTTCAGTCGCAGGTAGGGAATTCCATTCCCGGGCTGTGCGTATAGTGCATTTGGAAGGAACCTTTTGCAATTTTTATCAAAAATACAAAAAATTTGTTTATTTTTTTATTTTTAATCATTTCTTAATTTCAAGTATAGGTAAATATTGATTTATTTATTGTGAATATTGCCATCACTGGTTATTGCTAAGGAGACGGTAGCAGTAATCAATTTATTCTATTCTTAGACAAGTGTTGCATTTCAATGTTGGTTTTCAATTTTTCTAATTCTTGTTCGAAATATGTTTTTTTTACTTTTAACATCTGACTTTCTGTTTATCTATGCGAAATCGTTTCGAACAAAAAACAAACAAGTCTGTGCCTCTACCACGGGTTTTTGTATGGCAAATTATACAGCGCCCCTAGCGGTCACAAGAAAAACCTCCCTTCTGTATACAAACATTTTACACGGTCGCTAGCGATAACTGTCATTGTAATCTCGTGGTAGAAGCACTGGTCCTGAATTTCGAACGTCTCACGGTTTTTTTAATATTAATATGTTTGTTAGTATAAAGGTGAACGTGCTCTGTGCGTATACATTTATTATTTTTTAGTATATTACAAATTAGTATATCTATGAGAATATTTATTGATATATAGTAAATTTTACATCTAAAGCAAATACGATTAAATTACACGTCCCTAAATGATTAGAATCTCTAAACAAAAATGCAAAAACGTCTTAATCTGAAATAAATTACTAACCCCGAAGTCTTTCGTAAAATACGTACTAAATTTGTAAACGATATAGGAATATCTTAATTTGTTTCTCTTTGTACCAAATCGTGATAAAGGTAGAAACTTTTAATTTTGAGCTTTATCTTCTTGAGAATAGTGACAGAGAGCTTTAATTTAATAGAGGTCTGAAACAGTCATCTTTTTCAGCGAAGAAAAATTGTATTCTTTGCCTCTAACTAACGACATTAGCAAAATTTTCTCAAGTAAAACTTTGTATGTCAACTGAATTGAAATAAATAATAAACTTTATTAAATTCAAAAGCAGCGATAACGAATGTCAAATTGATCATGATGTGAGGATACCACAAAAACGATGTTAAAAAAATGTTAAAAAAACTTTGAAACAAATATGTCTTAAATTAAATTATTGTCTCGGAACGATAATAATAAATAAGATAATAAGGACTTACTAAAGTACTTAGCTCGATTAGTTTTATTGGTCGAGTCTTGAAACTTTTTTAGGTACTAGTATTGTTAGCTTATGTCCACAACAGTGCGATATCATGATCATCTTACGTCTTCCTCTGAAGCATGCGTGAAGTGCCCATAGCGCATGCAGTAGCGCATACGCTAGAAAGATCCGGCATCGACAGGTTCGCGTGCAACAGTCCGTGCGTTTTACCAGACAAAATGGCGGCAGATAAAGTTAAAATGTGGGAATTACAACTGGTGTGGACTAGGGTGGTTGTTGATGCAGGTTGTTTACACATCACAAATACTGATTTTGTCAAATAAAAAAAAGTGAAAAATGGAAATTCTTACCGAATCTATCTACATGGCAAAACCTTTAATTTTGTTTGGTATTGTAACAGAATCTTATTTCAATGATTTTGTGACATCAAACTGCATGGAAACATTCAATCAGGCTAGCTTTATTGTTGTGGAATTTTATGAAATCTTAAAAACAACAGGCGAGTTGCTTTTTCGGCTTATTTACAGTCTGTTTCTGGAAGGTTTCTAAATTATTCCAAGGCGCATTTTAGATCATGTCATGACTCGAACATCAGCAATGAATATTAGCATCGATGTGGATGCTCATATTCGCTACAACCCTGGTATGGGCATAGCATCTGATGGCAATCAAAATAATGATGCAATAGCTATGCAAAAGCATACGCCTAATACAAGACATTGAAAGTTGGAAAGCAAAATGAACATGAAAGCACATTGGTGTGGACATAGCTTTACAGATATAAATTATTAACCTTTAACGATTTTCTTCGTCTACCAACACTGTTGTCGTTTAGAAACACACAATCATTCGAAATTTTCGTACTATGTTCGTGGCTGTAATAAAATATATATGGCATTGCAAACTTTAAAATTCCCTTTGATGAAACAAGATTTTAAAATTTTGTTATTAAAATCGTATATTTCACATTTAAAAAAACGTTAGTTCTGATTTGTATGAAATTTTTCACATGGCCACATTAGGAGTTTGAATAATCCTATTTTTTTTCTCCGACTTTAGTAACAGGTAAACATTTGTTTAAAACTTCTTAGCTGTTGAATTTAAAACGTATATATTTCACGTCCAAACGAGCATGAAAATTTCAAATGATTTTAAATTTTCATGAAAAATAAAACAGACCGTCTGATCACAAATTCACTATTAACAAGTAATGTAAAAAACTTAAGACACCTTGTTTCTTTCAGTCGATATTACTCTAGATTTAGTTCATATATTTATCGTGAGATTATTACGTCAGGGCTTCGAACCCCATGTGGCACAACAGAGAAAGTGTCAGTAGTGATCATCGGCCGTCGGCGCCACGGAGTATACTGATGGTGGCCTGGAAAAAAATGTAATAATATCAATAAAAATGCATGACGGACAAGAATAACAATTATTGGGTAACAATTTTAACGAGCCAAAATAAGAGATGGAGGTCAAATGCGCACTTATTTTTTATAAAAAATAAGAAAAAGAATTAATTACAACGATAAAAAAATCAAACTTTAATCAAGTAGGCGTTCGCCATGTTGATGTCTATTCTTAAAATGCGCGCTAAAATATCACACAAAATGACAATAGACAATAAAAAAAAAATTTTTTTTTTATTATATAAAGTGACAGGATCGACGAGTCATGCGAGGATTTTTGTTTACAGTTGTAAATCGAATGGACTTTCTCTTCAACCAATTACTTTATATCATAGCTTCCATAAGTGTTATTGCCGGGATTCGAAATTATCATGGTATTTATTTTCTTTGACAATTATCATGATTCAGGGACAAAACTAAATAAACGACGAAAGAAAAATCTTTTAGGAAACGATTTAGTTCGAGATTGACGTTTGACACGTTTGCATACGTCTCTGATATAAAGACATGGCACGACATTGCTAGCGGTAGCATTTTGTTCAGTAAAAGATAACTATTGTGACGTCTACACTATTTTGTACAGAGGTAGCTAAATAAAACTGTCGCGTCGTGTCTATTGTATATATTATCTATACACCACAATTATCAAGTTATATTTAACAAGATTATTTTCAATGATAATTATCACTACGAACCCTGGTTATTATTAAATAACTCCAAAGCCACTAACATAACTATTTGTTTTTAAAAAATTTTGGACTTTTTTCTATTTCCTATTATCTGCTGTTTGTCGATACAATACAATACAAAAATTCTTTATTGTACACCAAAATGTATACTAATACAATATAATAATAAAAAAAATAAACAGCGTTTAAGCGTTTTCTGACAAACAATCTTTGGATGGAAATAATTAATTATAACTCGTAGGCAAAGACGGCGGTGTCTATCTATATTGGTTTGCATATATATATGTATACGCATACGTTAAGAGAAAAAATAAAATTTCAAAAGTCGATTTGCATAACAAGTCAAAAAATATTGTCGGTTTTATTAAGATCCACTTTATTTTAGTACCTTAGTGTTCGCCTGGGAGCCGGCAGTCGCGAAGGCCTGGGCAAAGCCGACGTGCGCGGCTGGTCGCACGAACTCGGTCGTGCCTCACTCGCTAACGGAACTAAACAGCGTAAGCGTAATTTGAAATTGACAATTTCTAGGCACAAATTTCATTCTTGAAAATCACATGTGTCATTTATAATATGTATAGTGAGTAGCATTAAGTGTACCTGAATTATTTTTAGGCATCACAGATCCAGATGATGGCCTTGAGACGCGTTGTGGCCCTGCCACAGAAGGGTTTGGTCGCTGCGCAGGAGGCTGAAAACGTTTTTAGTTGTTTCTTAAGGTGTTCTCCTACATGAATGTTGGTTACCACCACAATTAATAATTAACGAAATATATGAAACAACGCGTCACCTAATTATAACTGAATTTTAACCTGTCAGGGTGCGTATAGATCTGGCTAACGTGCGTTTAGGTGCAGCTAGTAGGCAAAAAAGCACAGATGGCGCACGAGAGGCGCGCGAACGGTACGTCAACAGATCGCACTATTTATAATGCACGTGTGCAGCTCGCGAGCCTTTCGCAAACAGGCACTGCCGTAGCGCATTCGCCAGACCAAAACACACCCTCACAAACGCGTTCCAGAGACGAACAGTGTCCCTAACGATTTTCATACTGTTAACAAACATAGATAATATTTAAAATTTAGGGACGCCGTAAGTATATAAATTTAAAATTTAGGGACAACGTGTGTCTCCAAGACGCGTGGCGGGTTAAAAATATAATATAGACGCTAATGCCATCATCTTAGGTTTCTTTCTGGTCCGCATTTTTATTTTCATTACTAGTTATAACCAAACAAAAACAGAACACACAAAAACTTAAAAACATGAATAAAAACAAACATGTCTGCATTAACTTGTCAATATACACACATAAAAAAATATATAACAAATATACGGGGAAAACATAATCGTCACCGTGATAATCAACGAGCAAGGAGAACAAAAAATACTACGTACGATAGAGTAGCAACGTTAGGACAATAATTTTCGAAAATGATCATCCACTGCAAAACTATTATACTTCATCATCTTCAACCCATTTATACGTCCCACTGCTTGTCACGGGTCTGCTCTAAGGCGAAGATTTAGGCTTAACACATTTTCCGAGTGTTGTCAACCTTCTACGACGTGTAAGTTTCATAATATCAACTGACGGGACGAACAAATATTGCACCTGATGGTAAGCTACACGCCTGTCCATAACAATTGCAGTGCCACTCCAGAGCTTTGCGCGAGAGGCATATACATATAAAAGAAATTACGTAACTGAAATGATAAAATGATGAAGCTTTATACATATTTACCCCGATGGGAAAAGGTTGTTAAGTATAATGTAGAGCTCCTTGTGAAAGAGTTCGTCCAGGGAAGTATTGCCACCTTACCTATTTCTGCCGCCAAGCAGTAATGTCAGCATCACTGTGTTCCGGTTTTGAAGGGTAAGGGTGTTGGTGAAATTACAGGCACATGGGACTTGTTAACTAATGTCTCAGAGTGACGAACGCAGTGGCAGTGCCCTTCAGATCTTTGCGATTTAAAGCTCTGAGTTGCACTGCAACTTTTATGGACAATCGAAAGCTTACTATCAGGCGCACAACTAGTTCGTCTCGTCATTTGATATTATAAAAAAAAACTTATAATTGAATTACGTATTGAAATACAAGTATGTATTTTGTAATTCGAATACTACCTATAAATGTGTTTTGTAATTAATTTATGGGTATTTCAATTATATGACAATAACGTATATTGTAATTTGATACTTGAAATATCTCACAATAATGTATTTTGTAATTGACACTTTATCTCAGAATTGATATTTCCAATTGATATTTTTATTTATTGGTATTTTATAATTGTCATTTAAAATACTTCAGGGATGTTCAGTTAGTGGGTATTTCAATATTTGTATGTATTTTCTATTTTCAAAACACCCCATGAAAGTATTTTGTATTTCGTATTTTAAATATAAGAAATTTAATAAGAAAATATTTTCTAATTTATATTTCTAAGATGTACCATGTATTTTGCCTAGCCCTTATTATGTATATGTTTATATATGTTTTCAAGTGCCATTACCCTGGTTGAACAGATAGGAAGAGACACTCACTTGAAAATATTGATTGCGCGTAGGGTTCAGCATCGGGATACCGGCGCTGACGGTCGGAGTATGAGCCGGAGGCCCTCGGAGCTGTTAGCGGGTTATGGGTTAGCCACAAAAGTTAAAATATGACAAATGGAACACGTTCACAGTCTTCGTACAATATGGCTATAGCGATATATGATGTAATAACAATAAATAAATAATCCCAATTGGTTTGTTAACAAACGGCTTCATTCTTTTTTATTTCTGTTATACTCCGTCCAACCATTTCGATGACTTACTTTCTTTAACTAGTATCTTATAAAAAGTGATTCAGGAGATGGCAAATCTTTCTATTTATTTTAAAGTTCTGATCAAGGGTGTCGATTTGGATGCATTACTATAAGAATAGGTAAGCGTCAGTGTGTGAAAATGAAGGAAATGTGATGTGAAATTGGCCTGCAAAATTTGTATATACAATCCATTTTTTGCATTTCAGTAACTTTGTGTTTACGAGTTTGAGAAAGCAAGGCGACGATTTATTTAACTTTTGCATGCCTCCGAAGTTCCGTAATTATTGACATAGAACCATTAACAAAAAATGCAATATTTTTTTGACTCTTTTATTTATTAATTTTAGTGACGCGACGTGCTCTTTAGTTCCGATATTTATCGAGTCAGCAGGTTATGTAACGAAGATATATTCAAGTTGATAAATTTTGGTACCTGTGTAATAAATTATAATGAAATGAAATAAATTATAAATATAGGAAATGAAACTATTTTTCCGGATTTAAATCGCGTATATTTGATTTTTCAAACAAACCGACGTTTCGGGCCCTTTATAGGTCCCATGGTCACGGTTGACTGATGGTTGACAGTCAACCGTGACAGTGAACAGTTGACCATGGGAGCTGCCGAAAAGCGCCCGAAACGTCGGTTTGTTTGAAAAAACAAATATACACGATTTAAATCCGGAAAAATAGTTTCATTTCCTATGTGTAACAATCGCGAAAACCTAAGAACTCGATAAATTATAAATAATTATATAAAATTGACTATTAATTATATATTAATGACGCGTCGGATTCTTCTCCTTATGAACGGGAATCATCACATGAGTCCTCAGTAACATTAATTATTAATTCTTGAGTACACAAATTGTCAAACGCAACATCACGAGTCCAAACACACAATATCTTCTTTTTTGAACCCGCTCACATTCATGGTTAAAACTTTTTCATAAATAAAATCGATTGTTATAAAAAAAATCGGAAACGCATTAGGACATCCCTAATTGATAAGAATTCGAGCTGTCAAATGTTAAATAATTCGTTGGACGGAGTATAGTTACAGTATTAATGCAGAAAGATGCGCTGCTTGTTACGGCACGTACCGTTCGTCGGTTCTTGTACTTGAGTGCCTGACCCCAGTTACCAGTGTACATCGCGTTTCCCGTTTAAAAACTTGAAATTTACGTTTAGATCATGGGATAAGAAGTAGGGAATTTGAAATAAATAATTAGCAGAAATAGTATGAGTCATCATAATAAATCAACAGCAGGCATCAAGTCAACCAATAAAACACCCATCACATAATGGCGATAAACCAGCAGGGGTCGATTTATTTACTTGTAGTTTGTCAATCGATCTGTCAATAAAATTTGATAGTTGTCGAGGTCATATTGAGACTGTGAACGTATTTATGTAACAAGCATGATTTTATGGTTGTTTTGGAATATGTCACACAAAAATATAGAAAAAAAAGAAAAAAATATTAAATTAATAACGAGCACACAAATCCCACACCACAGAACATAAATATGAAAATTAAAATACATTGACTAAGTTTTCTACCGCCGTTAGTAGTAAGGGCGCTTGTGACAAAAACTCGAAACCGATGAAACAAAGTTTAAAGAATAGTACATTATTGCAAAGGCCGGGAAGTAAGGGATCGCTGGACGAGTTGAGTTACAAGGACGAGCGCCAGTGAGGCCTTGTATTAATACGAGTCAAGTAATCCCCGTTCCCGCCGAAGCATGTATAGAATTTTTCTCAAACAATGCGAGGAAATAATAAAAGACTAAAGAGAGGAAGATGTATAATAGAAAACAAAAGAATACCAAAACATTAGTCTAAATATTGCCGCCATTTTTTTTTTAAGTAAGCGGTACAGGTGGGTATTTTTAATTCTTGCAGTTATGAACACGGGCAGATGACTGTATGAGTTTTATTTTGCCTGTTTACATAGTTCATTATTAGTAGGTACATTTCAAAGTTTAAAGAAGAGGACAGTAATGGATTGTCGTACTTACTTTGCAGGCCTTGGAAGAAGTCGCATGGTCCAGAAATGACAGTTTGTTATTTGTCCGTATTCGTTTTTTTGAAAGTAATGCAAACATTTCCGAGATTGTTTGAGAAAATTAAATAAAAAAAATATCTACTTTTTTCTTGCGATAATTTCACACCTTATCTACTTAGGAAAAAATAAAACCTTAATTTATTGAAAAAAGTCATATGTGCCCTTACAAATAACGGCGGCAGTTTTAAACCGACTTCAAAAAAAGGAGGAGGTTCTCAATTCGAATGAATTTATTTTTTGTGTATGTTACGCGATTACTCCGGCATTTCGATGAGTCTTTTTTTTTTTGTTGGAAAGAGGGTACCTCGGTATTAGTCCCATTTAAATTTGGAGAAAACATTCCACTTCTAAGGGTGGCAAACTAGGGGATGAATCCGGTTTCGCGCACTTTCCGGTAAGCGATTTCAATAAAACTTGGCAAATAGAACTCGGAAAATTTCACGAACTTTTGAGGTCGGTTTTTTTCTATAAAAATGTTACAATTATATGATATTCCCTTTTAACAGAATGATACGCACGCGTATCAACAGTGACAAATAAGATACGCGTGCGTAACGAAGTCTGTTCGAAAACGGACTGTTGATAATATAAGTATAGTATAATAAGACAAACTGGGTATCTCCATACGAAAGTAGCAGCGCGACTTGTATGTATGCACGCCCTCCGAGCGCCTTGTACGGACGCACACATTCGAATAATCTCACGGTGCACTCACAATGCATAGCGAGGGTCATCACACGCGCCATTCATAATAGAATTGTAGCCTTTGCATGGTGTATCAAAAAATTACATGAAATAGTAGACGTGTTTATTGTTGTGTTTATCACTGTGAACAGATTTTTAAAATTCTGTTTATGTTGGAAAGAGAGCACCTCAATGTTGATCTCATTTAAATTTGAAGAAAATATTCTACCTCTAAGGGTGGCAAACTAGGGGATGAATCGAGTTTCGCGCACTTGCCGGTAACCGATTTCAATAACACTTGGCAAATACTCAGATGTAATTCCACGAACTTTTGACGTCCATGTGTTTTTACGACTAAAATAATAATGTGACGACCCTACGCTCCGGTGGGAGTTGCTCTACTTGTCTTATTATACTATGATACTAGGATTTTCCTAAGGTTGCAATAAGGTCTATAGATTTTAAGACTTTCGTGGTTATTCACTAAATGATTATCACTAGTATCAGGTTTCTTACCGTATTAGGTTTTTAACCGTGATGATGGTTTTAAACTGTCCAGTGCATGGAATCCGGTCCTTAGTGCGTGCAGTAATAAAAACAAAAACACCTCGAGTTCAGTTTCGCGTGTGGATACAGTGAGTGTGGTTTGTGTGAAAAAAGTGAGTGACAATGGTAACGCCACAACAAATCGCGATGAAGGTAATCGTCGACAGCGCAAGAGGGTAGACAGATATGTCTGCTCATAAAGCTGTCATCTGCCGCCGTCCAGTCAACCCGTGACCATGGAGCGTGCAACCGTTCCGAAATATCGGGAAAATAAAAAGAAGTCATACCGTGGTAAGAAACCTGATACTAGTGATAATCATTTGCAATAAGGTCGCCATTTGTAACCTACCTTGCTTTTGTATTGATAGCTGTGGTATCTGTGTACAATAAAGTATATATTGCAGGCGAACTCACATCTTTGGGCGGAATCAGCTGGCTTTTGGGCCGATCTCTGCGCAACGTTTCGGTGCCTTGACGGACGAGTGTCGGCGGGTTCGCCAACGTAGATCGTACTGGCTCTGTAGTGGGCTGTTTCAAGAAAGAAATACGATTTATATACCCGATTTACACCCGACCGAAACTCCTTTTAATGGACAAAGAAATTTTACAAGAACTTGTAATTTCATTTTTATTTGTCGTCGTTGTATTTCGAAAATATTTTGTGTTTGTGTTAAGTTACAAAATTTTGTTTTATATTAACTTAATGATCATATCATCCTTTATTATAATTTAAATTAACATTGTGACTTTAATATTTTTATTTAATTTAACTTGGGCTTTTATCGCTTAGCGGTAATGCCAGTCCCATCGGTAGAGACCATCCTTAATTCTATTTACCTATCTATCTTTAAATGACTTGAGTATTAAGTTATATTTTTTATAGGCCAGGATACTATTAGGATTTGATAATATGAAATTGCACATGCCATCTGTTAATCTGATTCCAACCTGTAGTTCTATCTGTTTTCGTTCAGCTCTGAAACTTCCGCAACGAAAGTTTCGGTCGAGTCACTGCCGCGAAATCTCACGATTAAGTATCATAGACTGGTTCGAGACATATCTTTCTGATGAATTTAGAGTTTTGAAATAAACCGTTATTTCAGAAAGTCGTCGATATAGTTTTCGTCTTGCCATTCCGTATTTCCTGTATCATGATAGTGGTACTTACCCGAGTGGGCTGATCCAGCATGATGGTATATGAGTCTCGCCGAATAGGGGGTGGTTGGTTTACAGGCGGGCAGAACGATGGCGCCGTCGACGTGGGGCTGAGGACGGGATTCGACGCGTACACGGAGCGGCGGACCATCGCGCGGCCCGCGCCAGCCCGTGGCCCCTGGGGCCCCGGGAGCCCTGACGGAGCTGTTAACGCTGGTCCACAAAGTCAATGCGTTAGAGACAGTATTTTAGTAGCAGTAGAGCTCCTCATATAACAGTATGTCCAGAGAGGTACTGCCACCTCACCTATGTATACCGCCAAACAGAATGTAAGTACTATTGCATTTCGGTTTGAAGGGTACTGGTGAAATTACAGGACTTACCAACTTAAGTTTCAGGGTGACAGGCGCAGTGGCAGTGCACTTCAGATCTTTGTGATTTAAACTTCTGAGTAACATTGCAACTATTATGGATAGCCGTGTCGCTTTTTACCAGGTGCACGATTTGTTCATCCCGTCATTTGATATCATAAAAAAGACTAAACGTCGCAATTTTGATTATTTTACTTTCAAAAACATCAATCAATGTTCAGGCGTTCAGATATAATAAAGTGCCATATGTATAAAAGTTAACCAATTCAAATTGGTTAATTTCTAATATTCGAGAATAATATTTTAATAATAATAACGCACTCACTCGTAGTCCAACTACAGAAACCCTTTATCACGGGTGTCATAGACACAAACACAGACTACCACAAATTACACCCAAAGTCACGATAGAAATAAATGTAGGCTAAACGTGGCAAATTGGACAAGGTAGTTTTATGACATTATACTTGGCTCGAGAAAGAGGGCACTGAAAGCTAAGAAACGAGTAGCACTGCCCAATATTAGGGTGTTATTACTAAAACTGTTGATAGAGCAATAGGTAGGTTAAGGGCTTGTCTCGATCGTGATAAATAAGAATTGCAAGGGTGCGTACAGATCTGGCGAACGCGACGCAAGCGTGCTGCACGTTGAATACATGTTAGTATTGTATGTGGCGAGCGAACGGCACGCGAACAGATCGCACCACGTAATGCACGTGTGCATCTCGCGAGCCTTTCGCGAACAGGCGCATTAGCGCACCCTAATGCGTTCAATTTGTCATGATCGAGCATAATTTGTGTCTAGCCTTATCATGACACCAAGTAACGGGACGAATAATCCGTGTACCTGGTGGTAAGCGACAGGTCTGTCCATAACAGTTGCAGTGGCACTCAGAACTCTAAATCGCAAAGATCTAAGGGTCACTGCCACTGCGCCCGTCACCCTGAGACAGAGAAGTTAAGAGACAAGTCTCATGTGCCTGGAATTTCGTCAGTACCCTTTTAAAATTGAAACGCAGTAATACTCGCATTACTGCTTGGCGGTAGAAATAAGTGAGAGTGCAGTATTTCCGTGAACGAACTCTTTAACAAGGAGCTTTACTGCTATCAGATGATTATATATCAGTCTAAAGGCGCCACAGACGACGCGTGTGCAAGTGTTGTGTCACAACGAACTAAGTTTTTAAAAATCGTGCACGTAATAAATAATAAGCAAGACTCTGAAATGTATTCTATATTATCTTACCATTGGCAGGTAATCTAAGTTCTTTATGTGAGCTATATTGCCTAAGTTTGGATGCGGGTAAACTCGACTTCCTAACTGCTGTCGGCGGCGCCATTGAATTGTAAGAGCCTGGAAAGATTTGAAAAAATGCAGGAACAAAATAAAAAAAACCGTACACTAATTTTCAATATATAACAATTATCTCAAGTCACAAGTCGAAATTTAAATTTGTGCTTCGTCATGACCTGTAGAATTCTATTTTTTATATTAATACTTGCTATCATCCCCTAAAAGTGTAGTTGAATATAAACCTATCTACACATGATGTGTACAAAAGTGAAGTACTGAAGCCAAAATAAAAAAAAAATCTAAAAATACATTGAATTTTCCAAACAAATATGTTGTCAGACAAAATGATCACGAAACGTCGAAACATTTTTTTAAATGTTATTGAGTCACAAAGACACTCATACAAAATTTTGTTAGCACCCTATATTGTAGTCCTTTCACGTAAAGCAAGCGAATGTATTTATCACATCACTGTAATTAAAATTGTGATTGGTGTGTGATTGGTCAGTTTGAATTGCCTATATTCTTAATACGCGTGAAATTTAATAAATCCCCCAATAGGTGCTGCTTGTCACTTAAAATTACACATGCCAGTAGCTGGCACAGTGTCAGTAAGAGGTCAATGTAAGGTAAATGTGTATACACTTCAAATGAAAGTTAGGTATAAGCGTGCCAGTTAAATGCACGTATGCAACGTTTACCAATAAGGCAGATGCCAGGTAACTAGCACGTTTATACATGTAAATGGCATGCCAACTGCTATATGTATGATAACTTTACGACACTTACCAGTTGACAACATTTTCACCGGTGACTTCACCCGAACCAGTGGTATGGGAAATTTTTTCTCTGGACTCATTCTATTGGCCAATATATCTCTTTTGGCCGCCGACTTCTTAATCAAAGTAGCTGTATTTATAACAGTTGTGTTTGGATCGCTTACGTTTGTACTTGGGACTTTAGTAACCGTGTAAGACTTTTCGTCTACCATGTTGTAAATGGGTGATATGGTTGTGTGAAGGTTCAAAAGGTCGGACTTCGAACTTTTATGTGTGGTTGTAAGAGGTGTTGAGGCGACGTGCAAACCTGAAAAAATATAATACCTATGACGTTCATATTCTTAGAGAATCTGCTTAGACAGATTGGACAGGAAAATGATGTTAAAATTAAACTTCTGCAATTTCGCTGTCGTGACGAATTAATATACAAACGCCATATTTAAGGGCAACGTAGATCCTTAAAATAACGCAGTGTTATTTCAAAAGTTTGTTTTTGTTTGAAAATAAAACAAATAGTCGACTGTCATTATTTCATTAATTTGTTTTAATTTCCTACCAATAGAGGTTTGCAGTGGTTGGAGGTTGATTTTGCGATCTTATAAATTTCGCAAACTTTACTCACGTCTGACCCAAAAAACTGATTTGTTTAAAGAAACAAATATACGCAAATTAAATTCGAAAAAATAGTTTTTTCCTATGAGTAACAATCGAGAAAACCTAAGAACTCTATTTAGTAGAAAAAGTGTATTTTATTTATAAATTACTGTTACAATTTTTAAATTTTCAGCCGTTCCTTGTTTAATTTTCATTTAATTTTTATTTTTCAATAAAGGTTGAGAAAGGTTACATACATATACTGAATGATGTTAATTTAATTCTTACTTTACGTCTAATCATTGTTTATTGATATAATAACGTTACTATTTTATACTGTCACTTATTTTTGTTATGCTAAATGTGCCGGTGTGTGCATATGTAGTAAGGGAAAATATCAAGCATAATTATGTGCTGGCAATTTCAAAGAAAACTAGGCCTATATATTATACTTCATAAACCTACGTGGATCGTGCGAAGGTGGATTGTCGGGCACACTTTCTGGAGGACTGGATGAACTAAATGTGCCGGTGTCTGTACTATCACTTGAGCCAACCATTGCTCGTTCTTGGGATCCCCACTCCTGAAAAAATAAGTGAACTGGTTTATAAGTGTCATTTGAGTATAATTTAACTCAACGTGTATTTTATGTTTATACATCTTATTCTGTGGAATATTAGATTCAGTCGTTCGTTATCTTTATTAAACAAAACAAAATAAACTCTTTAAGGGTTGGAACACATTTGGATGTACGGAACAACAACGCGCCAACAATAAAAGCGTGTTTTGTACGGGTGGTGTCACGATACGATACTAAAACACGATTTTTGTACGCTGCAGTTTCGTGCGACGAAGTGTGGTTCAACCCTAATTTTTTTTCACCTACCGGACGTCCCTTATTCTGCAGGCATTAGTAAGTAATAAAAAAATAACAAGGTAATGAAGAATAATCCTCCCAAGAGAGGAAGAGGCCGCGCGTTGCGTTTTGTTTCTTTGTCCTGTAATCATCATGCGGTTGGAATAAAGTATATACTGAGTTTAATATCGAATTAAATAATCCTACCTTTTGTTGCATAGTGCTGTCATCGAGAAGATTTAAGGTCGCCGCGTTGATGTCGATAATCGGTTTCTGATCTTCCTTCAAGAACACAACCGTTGTATCTAAACTGGTTTTAGGCGAAGACTTTTTAAACGTAGCGTTTCTTTTTGGTGGTTCTCTAACTGGTTCTTCTGTTTTATCGAATCCGTTAGCGCACTCTCTTCGTCTCGCAAGTAATTCTGACGCATTGTTTATACTTTTCCTAGGCAAGGACATTGTTTGATTGGACAGATTTTTAACTGGAGATAAGTCAACTTGATTAGGTAACGGTCTCTCTGGTTCAGTGGGTAACGCTTTCCTTGCCAACGATAACTTTTGCCTAGCTTGAATAATCTCATTAAGCTCTTGTTTATCTAACGTCACGTTTAAACTGCCTTTCCCACCGTCCACAGTCTTTTGCATACCCATATCTTTGTAGAACGCGTCGGATTTTTCAAAGGATGCGTTTACATTTTCTTTCTCGGCGTCGTTATTTTTAAATTTATTATTAGAGAAGTGCAATGTTATGGTTTCAGTCATAGCACTGGGTTTTGGGCTGTCCTTATTGTCCGTGTTTTCGTTTAGGACTTTAGCTGTGTCGATTTGACAGGCCTCTTCTCTAGATTTCGTGTAGCTTTCGGAATTTATTATCATTGTATCGCGTTTTGTGAAACTGTTGTATAATTGGTTGCAACGGGGTCTTGCTGATAACAACCGTTCTGATTGCTCTAAGTGGGTGAATGTCGCGGAGCTGAATACGTTGTTTTCGGAGGATATACTTTCCGATCTGGGTTTGTGCGGTGTGGAAACGATGTATGATGAGTTAACAGAGTTGACTAGGCTGGGCGGCAGAGAATCCATAAGGCTATCGTGGTCGGGGTACGTGGTCTGCGAGAGGAAGCTGGTGCTCATGTCTTTTTCGTCTAAGATGCTAAGTGTCATGCTGGTCATCATTTGATCTATGCTGTCGCGGCCTGAAGTTGGTATGCCTAGGGAATATTAAAAAAAAACTTTCGGTATTTCTACAGATAACTAGCAGTACTTCCACAATACTCGTAAATGACGCCATAGGGATTCGAACCATCCTCCTCTCAATTGAGTAGCGACTCCTCACTGGCCGCCCAACGCTTGTATTTAATATTTAGTATTAATGTTTATTGTAGAAAACTAAATTAGCTGTTCCAAGAAACAAACAAAAAGAACCGTGTAAATCGGTGTTAGTATACAGGGTGAATTAAAATCCATTAAAAAATCATAACTCGAATACTAAAAAAAATGCGGAACATATACGGGAATGATTCGGATACCACTCAATGTGAGGCACCAACATTTTTTTGGACGTCACTATCTCGGCCACCCTACAAAATCTATTACTATACCTGAATCTCGTTGCGAAGACAGTGATTTACGACCGTCCAATGATTCCTGGTTGAAGTTTCCAGAGCTCTCCATAAGTATGGAGGACACTAAACTCGGTGGTGACATTCGCATGAGCGACTCGCCGCTGTTGTACATGTTTAGGCTGCCACGGTCAGTCAGAACGTTTAGACCTGTTAAACCTCTGAAATTGAAAAAGGAATGTGTTACAGCCCATAAATTATATTTATTGAATTGCCATATCATGGTTGCCTTAGATTTATATACATTATTTTGCGTTTTACCCTGTGTTGGGGCACTGCAATGTTCGAGAGAGAGTACTGTTTATTTCATTTTCTATATATTTATTTATTGTAATATGTTATATGTAAGTTAAAACAATAATAATAATATCAACACATGCAGATTATTTAATAATTACATTAGAAAGCATACAGGATTATTTGTAAAATACAAACAACGTCGCAGGACAATATTACTAACATCATAAACAATAATTTTTGTTCCATGAATTGTAATAATTCATCAGATTTTACTTTTGCACAAATATAAAAATATTTAAATAGATCGCTCTGAACGATGATAACTCTATGCGGTAACAACAGTAAATACTAGCCCGATGCAAATCGCAGGAAAAGGGGTGGGAGTCGTCGACGAGAACGTTTGCGCGTTTGAACTTATAAAATACAGATCTAAAAGAGAGAGATCAGATAATACAACAAAATATTAAAAGTTTATAATACGCAAAATTATTCTTAGAGAAAAGTAATGGAACAAAACATATTGTTTATAATGTTACTAATATGTATGTCCTGCGAGGGGGCTAACAACATCCCAGTAGGAGGGAATCGAAACAAGTCAGCAAAAATTCGACGTAAATGCGTGAGTTATCCGTTACTTTAGTTTTCTATATAAAATCGCAGGAGGATACAGGATTATTTGAAAAATACAAATATTTTACAAATCACCCTGTATAGTATAAGTTTTTGTGTCAATTAAAAAAGTAATTTAATTTATAAAACGCATTTTTCAGAAAGTACGTTTTAAGGAGTTTTTAAAAATGTGCTGTTAGTCCCTTAATTTCCAAAACGTAGCAAAGACAAAATTTCTGATACTCTCGCTGTTTTATCATTACTCTAAACGAGAAGACCGATTACGTCAGATAAGTAAGTAACTGCTAAAATTGCGGGATAAAAAGGGCACATTTTTATAAAAAAATAGTATTGAGATTCAATCAACCAACAGGATTTCGTTGTATTGATAGAATGTAGGGGTTTTCACCCCGGGAATTTCGATCTCGAAAATTTCTCGACGATTTTTTGGTACTTCCGAAACACTCTCTCTCTCTCTCTCTCTCTCTCTCCCCCCCCTCCCTCCCTCCCTACTGTTACTGTTACCAACTGTTACTTTTTATTCTGGTTGTTTTATGCATGGACATGACAACAAATCTTAGCCAGCCCGTTCGCAAGAACTTCGCGAATCCTGAATGAAGTAGCACACATAATAGACTTATTTTCTTGTACTCCGTGTGAGTTCACAAGAAAACACTATTCTGTTATTTGCTACGTACACGTATTATAACAATTTATAGTGATTACATTACATATTATATTGTTAGTTTCTTTTTATTGATTAATATAAGTATCTACATATGGATTTGTACACTATTGCGTTGGCTATAACTGTAATTGTAGGTGTAATTTTCTAAGAAAATAAATTAATAAACACGGTAGAGTTGACCTTAGTATAATTTCTAGAGATTGAAGAACGATAGCAATAAAATCAGATTGTCTCTATTTCAAATTACATTAAAACCCTTTCTTTCGTGGCTATTATAAAAATAAAACATAAATAATTTATGATTCTATAAAGAACTTGATTAAAATATCATATCAACCATATCAATATATGGAAACTTAATTTTGAAAATGTCTGGCAAGTTTTGTTTTTCCCGGTATTTTCGAGATCGCATCGTCTCGATTTTTATTTCCGGGATGCGAAGGGCAAGGGTCTTTAGACGCTTTTATAAGCGTTGCAGTGGCGCTGCGACTGCGCTTCCAGACATTGTCAGAAATTCAGCAGTAGCACAACTGCTGCCTAATGTGAATGCGACCTATAAGATACCTCTACGCTTCTTGAAAATATGAATAAAATTCTATTGGTAATTCATTCCAAAAATATACATACAAACAATACATGGCTTCACTTTCAGCCACTGTTGTTTAGACATGAAAGCATGTAATTATTAATTTCGTTTTCGATACACGTCTGGACCAAGTATCAAGGTCATTGACAGTGTTTTGTGGATCATTCACTTTCCCCATAATATATCTTTGTACCGCAATCGGACAGTCATAGTGTGTATGGAAAGAATGTACTAAGAAAGTTTGCCGTCAGATATATTATATCAATAATTTTGAATGACGCTTGATGAAACATCTGTCGAATTTGATTTATTACATTCTATACAATACTTTCTATTTGAATGTTGCCTGGTGTTATAAATGGGTTCGAAATATCACAAAATAAACTAGGTATGAAGGCTTATAAAGCTGGTAATTAATAAAGTGCTATTTTCTTTTGTACGTAAGGCGTGACAACTAAAACAAAAGACTGTTAACCTACAATGCAAAAAAGAGTTGATGTGATTAGCTAAGTTTACGGACAATGTGTAGACCAAAATGTTAACGACATTCGACATTGTGGTCGCCCTCTGAGTCCAAGATCTTGGATTCAACTCCCAATAAGCCAATTTATTAAGCGACCTTCCCTAAATTGCTTTTGGTGAGTGTTGGAGGAGTACCTCCGGGGATTGTCGTTACTTTGGTGTATAGTCCATTTGTTTAGGTACTTAACTAAATGTAAACAATCTTGATTTTTTTTTATTGAAACATATACTTTCTAAATCAACAGGTAAAAAAATAGGCATGTTATGTCATATGAAGCTAAATATCTGTATTTTGTATTTGAAGGTAAGTAAAAATAATTTTATAAATGTATATTTCATTAAATAGACATCTGAAAATTGTTTACATTTAGTTAAGTACCTAAAGAAATGGACTATAGTTGAGTTTACGAAAGTTGATGTGACGCTATGTTAATAACAACTTTTAACTACATAGTTCATTATTGTGCCAAAAGATGGCGCTTCAAATTACTATACACGTTAGAATCGGTTTAAATTAGAGGTGCGCCACCTATTGACCGCGACGCGAAATGCAACTATGAGAACGGTATATAGTTCAATATTTATGCCCACAATCTGGCTAATATGAGGTGCGACCATGTAACGGATCACAAACATACGTAATATTGCACGTGTTGTTGACTTCAAGTCTCGTCAACCATAGTAAAACAAATTACTTAGTTTAAAAAACGAAATAATTGTCGATGTTGCCTTGTAAATTTATATACTCTTTGGAGTTGACATACTTGTTGAATGTATTGTGCAAGTTGTGCGCCGGCTGCGATAAATCGATGTTGATAGGCTTTGTTGGGGGTTGGTCAGATAATCGCTCCGATGTTTCTGACGTCAGCGTGATATCTATGTCGTCCAGCTGAAAAAAAAAACACAAATATTTGGAAGTCGAATCTGAACAGCGTTCAAAGTGGTTAAATATGGCGACTTTTAGAATTGCGATTTATAGGCGATTGCATTCATACAAATGCGCGATTGTATCCTATATATAAATCCCAAGTGTAGCGATGCGATCGCGCGTTTGTATTGATGCAGTGGCGCGCTTGCGTGTGTAACAGCTCTTAATTTTTCTTTTCATGTGACCATGGGCCTTCTAAAAAATACGCAATAGACGAGTAATTTGCAGTGATCGCAATTGAATAAATAAAGTGCGAACGTTTTCTTAGTATGCCCATGTCGTCATCAATGCGTATAAAATTTCTTTTTTATTGTTTATTTTCTAAACGTTCCAAAATATACGCTGACCCATTATTATTTTTTAAATGGCTAAAATATTTAAATACGTAAGTACGATTGATCGTAATATCTATGAATTCAAGTCCTCCTGGTTGTACCATCACCTAAGGATGGCAAACTAGGCGATGAATTGGGTTTCGAGCACTTTCCAGCAACCGATTTCAATAAAACTTGGTAATTCCAATAAAAAAGCCGATAAGAAACTTTTGAGGTCGGGAATTTTTAATAAAACGGTTTTAATTTAATTCACTAATCTAATAATATCACTAGATATACGAGGAAAATGCTCCATTTCAATTGTTATCACCATCTGTCCGGATTTCTCCGGACGTGTCCGTATTTTTCGGAGTAGGGTAACAATTTTAAGAATAAAAAGTAAAATCCACCTCGCAATTCTGTAGTAAAACTCGATTTACGACAAAAATTCTGTTATCCGAACGCCTATCCATTACATTTCATATCCGTTGCCGCGTAAGAGAGATTCTCGATGGCGATCGTAAATGTCAAGCTTTTTGTCAGGACTATTACAAATTTTTAAATGGTAACCCTAGTTTCAATGCATTTATAAGCAAACCTAAATTTACTTGTCGAGCGCTAGATTTCCCAAGTGACTGTGCTTGGTATACATTCTCAAGTTCATTAGAAAGTGTGGAAATGCGCAATGGAAATTGAGTTGCAATGCCATTTAAAATGTAACAACAACGACTAATTACACTGAATTATAATTACTTTAATAAAAACCTACAAGAGCGTTTCGAACACAGCCATTGTAGGGTGATGCAACTCGAGTGAATTATTATGTATGCAATAATAAACAATAACTGTGTGTCGTGGTAATTACTGATGGGAGTAAAGTGACAAACGAATAGTGGCCATGAAGTGATTATGTCGTGGAAGTAGTCGCGGGAAGTAATCGAGATGGATGACACTCTTTTTATTACCAGTAGAGCTCCTTGTGAAAGAGTTCGTCGAGGGAAGTATTGTTACCTCACCGATTCTTGCGTTCCGGTTTTAAAGGGTGAGCGGGCTGGTGAAATTACAGGCACATGGGACTTGTTAACTTATGTCTTAGGGTGACGGGCGCAGTGGCAGTGCCCCAAAGATCTTTGGGATTTAAAGCCAAGCAGTAATGTGAGAGTGCGTACAGATACGGAATGCGCCGTAAATGCGCCAGTTTGCGAAAGGCTGACGAACTGCACATGTGCATTACATTGTACGATCTGTTCGCGCACCGCTTACATTAACATGTATTTAACAGCAGCGTGTTGCGCGCGTGCAGTGCGCGTGCAGCGCGTTCGCGGCGGCAGGTCTGTACGCAACCTATGCATTGCTGCGTTCCGGTTTTGAAGAGTAAGGGTATTGGTGAAATTACCGGCACATGGAACTTGTCAACTATGTCTCAGGGCGACAGACGCAGCGGCAGTGCCCTTCAGATCACAATATAACGGTATTATTTACACTGTATGTATTAGTTGAAGTAAATAAGCTCTGCGAATTTCAAACTTTGATAATCACACAAAACTCGTAACCTCAAACTTTCTCTTACCACATTTGGTAAAACGAAATTAAATGAAGACCAAACATACTTCTGTGATTAATTGTCAACTGTCAAAGGTGGGAGGATTTACTACACTGCATTGGTTAAAACATACATTGAATCGAACGGTCAAACTAAACCTTTCCATTTTAAGGCTTTGACCATAATTTCGATTAATTAAGTGAATGAGATCAGCAAACTGCCCGAATACGGCGAAAGACAACCCGATATTATTGATATCCTGCTTTTTCCGCTCAGTGTTGCCGTTTTAACTACCTAAGGCCCCGTGTACACCAAAATATCCATAATATGGAGAAGTGATTGAGACAATAATATAATAATAATAACGCACACACTCAACATAGCCCCGCACTAGGAAAACGCCTGTGTCGCGGATATCAAGGACACACATATAGATAACCACAAATTACACCCAAACTGACGAGAGAAATAAATGTAGGCCATACACATATTTTTCCCGGCCTGGGAATCGAATCCAGAACCTCTGCATGGCATGGTAACCGTTCGGCCACCAAGGCGGTTTAACAATATTATTTCTACGATCATGTACACGTCAAGTGTACATTGTAACGAGAATATCGCATTCAAATTCAGCGCTATTTCTATATGTCCGTAGAACTGATACGTGCTAGAGCTTGAAGCATGTGAGTATATTTAATATACTGTAATGATCTTTTTTTTTAATAATTTCAAAAACAAAACAAGTCGTGCGTCCGTCGGTAAGCAACATAGACATGTTGGTGACATGTGACGTCATAGAATAGATTGTATAAACCAATGACGTAAAATGCTGCATGATATCAAGTAACGGGACCAAAAAGTCGTGCGCTTGGTGGTAAGCAACACGCCTCACTATAACACTTACAGTGCCACTCAGAGCTCTAAATCGCAAATGTCTGACACACTTTAGCTTTAACACACGAAGATCTGAGGGGCACCGCCACTGCGCCCATCACACTAAGACATAGGTTGGTAAGTCTCATGTACCTGTAATTTCATCAGCTCCCTTACATTCACGAGTAAAAGAGAGCTGGTGAAACAACAAGCACATAGCATGACCAATGCTAAGAAAACTTAGCTAGCTGCGCTTCGTTTATTATCAGTTGAGAACACACACTCACAGCCCCGCACCATGGAAACCCTGTATCGCGGGTGCTATGGACACATACATAGACAAAACCAAAACTCACGAGAGAAATAAACGTGAGCTGTATAAATATTTCTCACGGCCCGCGAATTGAACCTGGGACCTCTGCGTGGCAGTCCGGCATGGTAACCTTTCGGCCATGGAGGCAGTCAATTTACTACAATTAATTTACTATAATTCGACGTAGTTAAACAAAAAGGATGTGGATTGGATCCTTTTTGTTTAACTACGTCAATTTATTTCCGTGACGTCTGTTGTAATGGCTACCATATGAGATAAGAGAAAGTCCAAATCAATTCTCACCTTAGCTGAAATTGGATATTTACCTGTGGATCATCATCCTGCAACAAACTCTTCCTTTTCATAGCGTATTCCTTTATAATACTACTGTTCTCCGTATTACCATGAACATTAAAAGTTTTAAGTCTCAATATTGGTCCTAGTGGTGATGAATATTTGTTATACGTCATGTATTTATTCGCTGATTGATTCGTTGTGGCACTGGGTAGTATTGAAGGATTCGATGGTTCCATTACACTGTTGATACTCGGCCGTTGCATTCTCTTCTTGGGCTTGACGTAGGTTCTTGAGTCAAATTTGTGCTTGTCCGGCATAGCCAGCACTTGACCTGCAAAACAAATCAGAATTAATAAAAATCGACGAAAGAAAAACCATCTTATGAAGTTGATGATATTTTAAAGTTATTCGTTCTAAAAAAAAAGACATTTATGACATTTAATGTATCTATTGACGACCTCGGTCGCACTGTGGGCAATGGATGAGGAAATCTCGGAATCGCATACATGATAATGAATATAAAATAAAGTAGTATAACCACTGCCTGTCGAAATGCCACGGAGTGAAGTAAAACAAAATTACAACTCATAGATTTCTCATAGACAGCGCTATGGCTAAAAGTCGTTGAAAACCGAATACAAAGATCCGACAAACAAGCACAGAAAAATTCGTTAAGTCCGCTGGTTCGTTCCGTGGCTTAGTTGGCATAGCGTCTGCCACGGTTTGCTAGAAAACGTCGGTTCGAATCCGACCGGATCGAAGGAATTTTTTCTGAGTGTTCGATCTTTGTATTAATAATTATAACAAACTAGTGGAGTAATTTCACAAAACATAATTGAATATTAATTCAATACTAATTTAAATTCCCTAGGTTGAACCCAAGTAATTAATTAGTGTGGCTGTCTGGAACATTTTATCTATTTTTTTAATGGTATAATTCAAATAAATACAAAAGAAACTTACATACTAAAAATTGCCAAACTGCCGTGCAATTTCAATTTTTTTTATTTTATAATAACATGTACTAGTAGTGTAATTTTCAGATTAGTTTACTCTACCTAATTTCGGAGGCAATTTTTAATATTTAAGTATTCCAATATATATCGCGAAATATTAAATAATAGTTTAGGTTACTACAATCGAATGTTAAATAATGCTACATGATAATATTCTAGAATATGTAAATAACAAAAATTAGGTACAGAAAATTACCCTGTAACTGAAATTAAGAATTACGTTAAGAGATACTCTTTTAGATTACGTTTTAGTGAATATTTACTTAATTTTTTATCAATTTTAACCAATCTATTTCATTAAAAATTGTACACTATTTATTTTCCAAAGGTATTTCATATTATTTTATATTTTCCATTATAGTTATTTGCTTTTACCTGCACTAGTTTACCCTGCCTTAATCTATTAACATAATTGTCTATATGTATGTATTGTATATGTTCTTTTCAAGGCAACTCAACAGTTCTGCAATATCAAAATTCAAAATCTAATACGAAAGCTTGTAATTTCTCACATTTTTCACCCCCATTACTTGTTGAATAGCAGAACCTGTAGAAGCCTCTAAGATTAAGCAGAAAACTCAATACTGGCGAAATCCAAAAAGGGCACCCATAAGCATATAAAAGAATTTATTATTAAAATTATTTTGTATAAACATACAATTGTTATTACCATTAAATTCATATTTATGTGTACATGTGTAAATCTTTGAATTTAATTAATCGCTACCTTTATACAATAACACAGCATTGCAGAATACTATCATTTTGAACTAAGCATACAGCGAGGAGCAGAGAAAACAAATTTTTTGCGTTACGGACGACGGTCTTAGCCAGGTTCCTTACTATTTTTCTAGTCATGGACCCCTCTAAAAATTTCAAAGAGCCGACGGACCCTTTCCAAAAAATAAAAAAACGAGGTTTTAGTTTTTACTAGCTTTTGTTGTTTGCGATTAAACTTTACACTAAACTATTCATTAGTTGACGTGACGGTTACTGCTGCATATGCTGAATTAGAACGTCAAAGGCGTTGACGTTAAACGATGCCACATAAACAGACGAAGGCTTCAAACTTACAACTCCCTTTTTTTGCCTCGGGGGTGAAAATATTAGTTTAAATTAGTGCCAAAACCGACGAACAAATTTTAATTCAATATTAATTCAAATTCAAATCTTTATTTCGGTCAAAATATCCATTGTTAGTAACAAAATATTTTAATAGAAATCCTGACATTCCCGACGCTCTACAGTAGCTTGGCAACCCCAACAGCATTCTGAGAGCATCATTATACTGGGCGCGATACGCTTTCTGTGTACACTTGAAGATGCATGTGTAAAAAGATCGGCAAAGTGCTTTAAAAAGCGTGAGATTTACGTTTCTAGTACAACGTGTAGGCCTGCGGGCCAGCATGTTGCACCTTACTGCCAACGCTCTGCGCTCCCAGTCAATGTCCAAGTCGTCAGAGAGATTCTCCGTCACCCAGTGCCCTAGGTACTTAAAATGCGAGAACCTATGTAGTGGCAACTGACGGCATGCGGCACTACTGTGGGGCATTTAGAGCCGGCCTTAAAAATTAAAAACTCGCTTTCATTTACATTGTACCTAAGGCCAAGAGTTTATGCATACTCCTCGCAAATGTGCAGCAGCCTTCTTAAAGCACTGATACATTAATGTGTTCGTGGTTAGTATTGGCAATTCCAACAATAATGATTAAGTTGGCTACGTATGTCGTATCAAAACTACAAAAACGAAACGTCGTCAATTTTCCCGTGTGTTGGCAGACTAATGTTTCATAATTTTACTTTGGTGCCATATTATTGATAAATCTTCAATAACAGCCTGCCTCCATAAAGAGCGATATCGAACAGTCAGGAAAAGGGGACGGTGATAGTTACTCGTAAATTGCAACAGCCCTAGACAAGCGTAGGACGCTAACCGAATACTAATTTCTAATTTCGATGTCCGAATAATTGCAGTCGGAATATGAATCAGAAACTTCATTACTTTTAGTTTGTAATGCGTTCGTAACAAGGAGGTAATGATATTTTTTTAATTCGAGAAAAGATCAGGTCTAACATTGGCTCTGTGGAGTTTTTGAGCTAATTCATTTAAAAATAAATAAAAAATGCTGCAAACTTTAACAAGGTTTATCTAGATAAGGATGTTAAAAAAATAAAGACCAAAGCTGCCTCTTTATATAAGTTTCGATGACTGGGTGCCTTCTAACAGCAGTTTGGGTGCATAGAGATGCATGATGCATTGACTTCTAAAATATTTCGGTGAGTCGTAAGTCCACCAAGCAATAGGAAGTGTTTATTGTCAACCATTATACATCTCACTGTCTAGCCTAATCTAAAGATAGGGTTTTAGGGTCTACAAGGGTTGAGCACCTTCTTTGATATGCAGGTTTCTTCAAGATGTTTTCTTTCACCTTCAAAAATCTTTCACAGATTGAAAAATTTTATCGTAGGTGTACACTTTTCTCGATTACAAGGTCGCGAAAATGTTTCATTGGCAATAACCTTATTAGGCGATCATGTCAGACATACAACAGCAGGTTCAAGGATGTGGATGTTTTCTTATATATCCTATAATTTGGCGTCAAAATTTAAAACTAAAATAAAGTTACTGCTCCAGTGTAACCCAGTTTCGATGGTCTTCTTGCCAGTTCGCGTCTAGGCTCTGTTATTCGGAGCTGAGGCGGTTTGGTGTGTTTCAATTATTAATAAATTAAGGAATCTCCAGATCAACTTTGTATGATATTTTCGTTAATATAATAACAATAGTTTCACAACGACAGTTTGTTTCTTCAATAAAATTAATAAATAAACATTCACGTACGTAACTTAGAAACTAAAGTCACAGGTTCCGCTTTTGGACTTTTGAAAAAACACTGCATTATTTTGGGGAATTTGCTAGTGTTCCTGTGGTGTAGATATTTATCCGAAATAAAGATTTCAAATAGAAGTTAAAATCTAAAACTATAAAATCTAAATCAAAAGACACCGTTAGATAAAAGAGCCATTGAAACGGTTTTAGTTGTACGATTATTTTAGTCTGGTAAAAGCTAGGTAAAAAATAGAAAAAGAAAAAACCAGAAAGTTTACCACGCGTATAATATAGAAATAATAATACAATAGTTTTAGATACTAGCTCAGGGTAGTGAGTTCGCGTACACGAAACGAGTTCGAATTAGTCTGTGTAAACACACCGTCTAATTTGGAAAACCACTTCCCTGCAGTTCGATAGCTCGTAGTAGAAGAGGAATGGTGATCAGGATCCGGTTTTCAGGCGATGCGGACGTTAGTAGTGGGCAGATAGATCACGCCGTTGTAATTCAGAAAGCCTGGGCGCGAGATACCAGAGAGAACAGTGAGATATCCGAAATAAGGTATTTCAAAGAAAGGCAGAATTATGTTTACTGACTGCAACATCCCTAAAAATTGGAGACAGACGCACTGCTAATCGGAGTGGCTACCAAAGCATAAAATAGCGGTTAATGTTGTTGCTTCATGCAAAATCAACTTAATTATAAGGTGAAGAATAATTTAGGATAAAATGAAAATGGAAATTACTAGGAATAATGGTAATTTAGGTGGTAACTAAATGTTTACAATATTTAACAACTAAATAGCATAATTAATATGAAATTAACATCGTATTATCGAAGTAAACGATCAGTTATTTTAAATTTAGCATGAACGTAAGCATAGCCACAATTGAGTAATTTAACATTTGTACAGATTTCTAGCTATAATGAATACATTAAAATCAAGATAATAATTAATGATAACACAGTATTAGCTTTAAACATTGCGTGATAATTAAAATAATTACATTAATCTAATTAAAGCAAATTAAATTGCATCACTCACCCGATTTGGGGATTTTACACTTATCACAGTATATTATTTAAATTATAATTAATTACTGTTTCTTCCTTAGATAGGCGAAATTGGTTTCCAATTTACTATTATTTGGCACAGAAAGAAACTTTTTTGGAATTTTAAAAATATGTTACGATGTGTTTCTCAGTCCCGCCAACAGAACAAAATGACTGAACGCCGATCTTGCACTCCTCCAGCGTTCAAAATGATGATAATGAATGACTTGTGACGCAGTAACCACTTCTCGAACGCAAAAGCGCCTGATATAAATACTAATGCAAACGATCTGTTTTCAGTTTACTTCGATGATTTTTAGTTGTTTATAAGGATATTAAGCATTTAGTAAGTAGGTTTTATTTATAAATAGATAATAATTGTAAATATGTATTTACAATTATTATCAATAATCTTATTAATGTAAATATGTTAT